CACAATGTAAGTGGTCTAAAGTATTTTCGGAATCTGACTGTTTTACCAATTCTCTCTCTGGTTTATCTGATGCATAATAAATTCACTTTATGAAACTTTAAGAGTGCAAATAACTGGAGGTGAGAACATTCTTGCGTCTGTCAGTAAATCTACTAACTGAAAGTCGGTAGGACCGTGTGAGACATAAACTAGCTTGGTAAAATTTGTGAATGTGAAGAAAACATGAACTGGGGGATGAATTACATGTTTGGTTTATAGGAAGGCTGTGAATGAGGTTCTTGTACTCAGGAAGCCGAAAGAAAGCAGCGTATTGTCCAAAGAAGGAAAGGGTTTACATTACAAGTTTGGAAATAAAATGAAAATAATTAAATAGACATTTTTGCGAGGAAGTATAATATATGTGTGTCAGTCAAGTAAAAGATGATTATGGGCTGGGGAAATAGCTCAGTGGGTATGGTGCTACCCAAGTGTGAGGACTTGGGTCCCAATTCCCAGGAGCCGTGTAAAAGCCAGATGCCGTAATGCGAGTCTGTAATCTCCGTGCTCCTATGAGGAGAAGTGGGGCAGAGAGAGGAGAATTCAGAAACTTATGGGCCAGCCAGGCCAGCACACGTGGCAATGAACAGCTAGACGCCGCTCACAAACAGGATGGCAGATGAGGACCAACACTCAAGGTCACCCTCCAACCTCCACATGTAAGGAACGGCAGGTGCTCTCACTCACAAACCTCAACACAGACAGACACACAAAAAAAGCTTTAAAGAGAAACTTATGCACATACATGCATGTGCATGCAGTAAGTATGGACCAGAGAATGAAAGCGAACGTTTGGGAAGCATTTAGACATTTCCAGATTCAGTACTTCACTTGTTTCCCGACTTTTTTTCTCAGAATATTCCTAGTTAGTCTGTTCTTCTCTTCATCCCTCATTCCCTTCCTTCTAAAAAAACAAAACAAAAAAAACCACAAATCCACATTTTCTCACACCTCACTCAGCATTCAGCATGTCTTTCTATACTTCGTATTCAAGGGAGAAACAAACTGCCTCTTGAGAATCCCTAGCAGTAATACAACTAATTCACTAGCATCATGAGTGTTTTTCAAACTTTTGATCAGGGATCCCTTAAAAGAATATTGAAATGAGCCGGGCAGTGGTGGCGCACGCCTTTAATCCCAGCACTCGGGAGGCAGAGCCAGGCGGATCTCTGTGAGTTCAAGGCCAGCCTGGTCTCCAAAGCGAGTTCCAGGAAAGGCGCAAAGCTACACAGAGAAACCCTGTCTCGAAAAACCAAAAAAAAAAAAAAAAAAAAAAAAAAAAAAAAAAAAAAAAAGAATATTGAAATGACTCCTTGTCTAGTTCTTGAAACATGGGCAGCTGCATTGGCACCAGGCTCCTGCCTGCCTTGTAGACAGTTTCTCCTATGCCAGGCTCCCTCTGCATTCACCGCTTCTCCAGTACCTCGTTCCTGAAGAACAGTGTCTCCGGCACCCTTTGCTCCAGCAAACTCAAGATCTAAGAGTTCAACCACTGCAGCAAGAGGAGCTTCTCGGGTGCCAGATTCCTACAATGCCAGGAGACTTCGGTGGGCTTCGAGCAGCAGGACTGAAGAGCCAGCAGCCTCCCAACAGCTTCCATGAAGACGCCATTCAGCCAACAGCTCTCCTCACCACTCAAAAGGGGAGTTTTCCAAAGAATTCTGACAGGCAGATTTCCAGGGCAAACTTGTATTTCCAGTACACTACACCCCTGGGACACAGCCATGAGTTCTCGGCCACATAGTAGCTGAAATCCCACCATCTCCTTCTCAACCCCAGAGAGAGGAAGTAGGTGTAGGTCTGAGGGGGAGGATCTTTCTAGACTTCTCTGTTTCCATACTAGAGATCATGACCACCATCCCTGCTGTCTGTATTCATGACCTCCATTCCTGCTGTCTGTACTCATGACCTCCATTCCTGCTGTCTGTACTCATGACCTCCATCCCTGCTGTCTGTATTCATGACCTCCATTCCTGCTGTCTGTATTCATGACCTCCATTCCTGCTGTCTGTACTCATGACCTCCATCCCTGCTGTCTGTACTCATGACCTCCATCCCTGCTGTCTGTATTCATGACCTCCATTCCTGCTGTCTGTACTCATGACCTCCATTCCTGCTGTCTGTACTCATGACCTCCATTCCTGCTGTCTGTATTCATGACCTCCATTCCTGCTGTCTGTACTCATGACCACTATTTCCGCTGTGTCTATACCCTTACTAATTTCCTCTCACTTCTTACTAGCAAACTCCTCTTTATCCCAACTCTATGTTATAGTTTAGAATCCTTTAAACTTTCTTATTCAAGCAATTATGTGGGTTTTAAGTCTGGACTTGCTGAATAATAATTTTCCCTTGTATCTTTTACGAAGATACAATGGGAATACATTACCAGAAATGTAAATAACTACAAAAGATGAATTTCCAGTTGTTTTGTATTCTGTACATATGCTTACAGTATTCCTGTCAAAACCTCAGACCTACATATTTCCATCATATATAAGTGTAGAAATTAATCATATGAACTAATAAAGCCTGTCCTTAGCAACATATACATCAATCACATCAGATTTGGTTTTTTTCTACAAACGACAATGAAGCACCCCAAACTTTCATTTTCTATCGTTTGTATAAACACATTGGATATGTGTTCTCACACTTACCCATGTAAGTCCCTGGGTAGAAAATGGCTACACAGATAGACATACAAGCTGGCAGTGAGGGGTAGAGTTGCTGACCTATGGCAGGTGTTTTGCAACACTATCTCAATGTTTTGTTTGTTTGTTTGTTTTCCTTCGAGGAGTTTGTCTTCAAAAGTCATGCATCCTTGGACTATCATTTTGCTCGATGCCTGAATACAACAACTGAGGACAATAAATTCCAGCAATATTTGGGACAGATGAAAGGTGTACCATCCCAAGTGAAGTGTGAGGCAGCAGTCAGAAGAGAGATGGAAGGGAAGAAGCTGCAGACCACTGACCTCTGAGTTTCAGCAGATGTGCCTAGAGGAATGGAAGACGGGAAAATCGACTTCCTCAAAACTGTGCATGCCCTGTGGCCCCTGACGTCTTCGTGGGCACCCAGGGCACATATTTTGAAAGTGAAGACAACTTGCAGGCCAATAAACTACTCCATCTCCAACAAGAGAGGAGCAGGGATGCTTTTCTCTCAGAGTATACACGGAAGCAAGAAGAGCCAAGCGAATGATGAAAACCGGCAAAAGTGTGAACGAAAAGTCCAATCCGATTTCTCCGCGTTTTTAGGAAATAGAAGCTGACGGGAATGCTCAAAAGAAATGATGCCGTGTCACGGCGAACAGTGAACGTGACTCTCGCCGGCTCTCATGTTTGGATAAGGGTCTTGCTTTCAGGGTTTGTGATTCAAACTCTCACAAGGGTTAAATCCATCCTCTACAGTGGCTCTGTTTCTTATTTAAAACTGCAAGTTTTCCTTCAACCGAGTCCTTCAGTGAAATCGCACGGCTGGGAAGAGGTGGGGCATCTTGAACAAAAAGTGAAGGGGATGTGGGCAGCTTTTACCATTTGGGGTATTAACCAGTTTAGCACGGCTCAGCGGCTATCTTAAGTGTTCTGTCAACTATTATGACATAAGCCAAAGGTGTTGAAATACGAGGATGTGTGTTTTCTGAGAGGAAATGGGTGACAATTTGAAGGGTCAGTTTTTTAACATGAAAAAAAATACATAAGAATTCAGAACAGATTGTCAACCAACACTAACGTGCAAGAAGGTTTATGTAATTGGAGAAAAGTTCAAAACTCTTAAAAAATTTTAAGGAAACTACCATTTTCCTGTTATTTCAGAAATATCTGCAAATGTTAGTGTCTTAAAGGAGAAATATGGAGCAAGTTAAAGTGCGTTTTCCATGCTACAGCTATCAGATTTTTATTTACTCATTCTTTCTGTGAAACTTTGTAATCCTGTGTCAGATAAATGATGCTCACTCTCAAGTAAGCCTTCTGTTTGGGGGATATAAGGCTTCTAGGATTTTACTCACCTAGCTAAAACTTCTTTGGTAAAGATTATCCTTCACTAAGTAAGATTATCCTATCCAGACCAAGAATTAACTCTTCTCCAAAAAGTCTATGTGATGCCTGCATCACTGTGAACTGCTGGGATCTTTTAAGAAGATGATTTTAAGCTGGGTGGTGGTGGTGGCGGTGGCGGCGTCGCACGCCTTTAACCCCAGCACTCGGGAGGCAGAGGCAGGCGGATCTCTGAGAGTTCATGGCCAGCCTGGGCTACAGAATAAGTTCCAGGAAAGGCGCAAAGCTACACAGAGAAACCCTGTCTCGAAAAACAAAAACAAAAAAAAAAAACAAGTTTAAAAAAAAAAAGAAGATGATTTTAGACCAATGCAAAAATAATGTTAACCTCAAATATACAATAGTGTTGCCTATACATAAAAATCTGTTGTCTGGCTCACATTTACTTTACGTACAGGTATTTCCCGTCATTGTGGAACTGTAACTAGACTTCTTGATGAGTATGTTTTATTCATCAAGAATATCATGAGTGACTTGCAAAAACGGTCCATAAATGGATTTAAGGGTATCACTTGAAGGTAGAAAAATCAGTAAATACATGAGCAGATAGATCTCTGCTCACCAAAATTTCCTTCGTACTCCGGCTATGAACAATGGTTACTAAGGTGGGATGAACTTAATGCTGGGTATTTTAAATGTCCAAACAGTACAAAATTCACCAGGCTGTCATAGAGTATTTAACCAGGAAAGTCTGTAATTATTCTTGTTTTCAGGGAGTATACACACACACACACACACACACACACACACACACACACACACACACACGTATATACATGTATATTATGTATTTATAACAGAAAAAGATAGAATCAAATTCAGCAAAGATTCAAAGGTAAATGAGCAAAAAGGAGTCTGCAGCCATGTGACCCAGCCATACCTACCAGCTTGCAGTACACTTACTTGAACAATGGAGTTCCACAAACAACACATTTATATATTCCAGGATCTTTGTGGTGCGTGTATTCTCCTTCAAAAGCACTGATAAAAAAAAAATAAACAGATCATCAAAAAATATTAACAAAGCTAGTGTTCTTAGAGAACACATTGGTGTAAAATACATTTCTCTAGTAAATCTTTCGAGGGTTTTGGGCCCTAAAATGAGAACAGACTAAACATATGGAAAGTTGAACCATACTAATACACTTCAAATATACATATATATAATGTGCATATAACTACTCCAAACCAGTACAAGTAAAAATATCAAGCCATCTAGTATGTAATATTTAGAATATTTTTCAAATAAAAAAAAAAGCCCGTTGTTTGAGTCACATAATGAACATTATTACATAAGATTTCTACTACTCCGCACTGTGCAAGAGCGGACTGGAAAATGCAGCAGGGTCCAAGTCTTCCCGTGGAAGGAGTCTTAGTTTTCAGTTTGAAAAGGAATATTGCAGCTTTAAGGGAATATTTTTCTAAGTTAGCGATCTTCAAGGCGAGGAGGTCATTCGGCTAACACAAATCAGCTGTGGTAGCCCCACAAAAAGTCTGTGTGCTCGGCAGCTTGTTCTTATTATCCTTTCAGCCTCTTTACGAGGTCCAGTTTTTTTTATAAACAGAATTTTTAAGAATGACCTAATCTCTGGTTGTTTGTGTGCATTAAATCATTTCGCTAGCCATGCACACTACAGGGCGGGCAAGTCCTCTGGCTGAGAATCCAGCCCACCACCGGGTCCAGTGGACAACGAGGGCACGCTTTGTCAGAGACTCCACGTTTAGTCAACTCAGTAAATAGTAGATTCTGTGACAGGAAGAGCATGTTGCCTCTTAACAAGGATCCCGTGTGGGAAAGAGCTCTCAGCTCATGAATGAAAACACTAAGTTACATCATTAATAAATCTGGATCAGAGGTACATTTACAGCTTTGTGCCAAGCTCCATGGTATAAATTAAACAACAAAATCATTGGGCCTTGGCAAGTTACTTTTTAGCTGGAATCAGCTGAGAGAGACTTTAATCACTAGAAACAGTCTTGGAAGTGAACAAACTTTTTTTTTTCCTTCCAGGATGTAGGGCGAACTTCCAAGGACCAAAGCCATGTGAGGGCAGTTATTGAAAATTTTTGACATTCCAACCACAAATGAGCCAATAAATACTCTCTCCACATGTGCTTCAAAAAGAAATTGGAGTGGGGTAGAAAGGAACTAAATTATGCTACCTTCTTTTTGCAGCCAAAATGTCTATGCTTACAATGGCCACCTTCAAAAATGCCAGCATCCTGGCATAGCTCCACGTCCCTCATGGTTTTCCTCACTGTGATGTCTTCAACAAAAAAAAAAAAAAAAAAGTACCTAAATCACTATTACTTCCACACATTTTGTTGTAAACTAAAAACAGGCCCTTAACAAAAGCCCCGTGACTCTATATAAGATAGAAGGGTCACTGAGTGGAGGAGAGCAGAAATAAGACTCAGCCTCAACCTAAACAACGTCCCAGTTCCAACCTTTTCAAAGCCAGTCATTTGCAGGATTAGCCAGTATGTATAGGACTCTTTGAATGAACTAACAAGGAAGAGGAGACTCCAGGGAGCGAGGAGAAAAGTAGTACTTGCTTGCTGGCTTTTTACTACAGCACACATTACCTTTCTGTTCCTTTCTCCTGAGTGACATGGTACTGGAGGGGTGTCAGCCGCTTCCTCAGTTCCTGCTGGGAAAAGACCACCTTACAGTTCTTTTTATCCCTACATGACCCTGGAAAGAGAGGATATGGGAGAAAGAGCCTTTTTAGCCTGAATCCTAAATAATTGCTTTGGCTGGTCACCACAGTGCAGTCTCTACAGTCACTTGTCAATGACCAAACCAGTCCCTAACAGACTACAAAATCTTCCCTGAGCTGCAGCTGGTCTCCAAGTTCAAAAGGAATGTACCTTAAGATCCAACTGACTCCTCTGGAGTAGCAACACAGCATTAGAGCCAAAGCTTCTAGAAGATGATACTAAACACTCACTGGGTACTTGTTCCCAGCATGGTGGTACATCCTATATGCCACCTGAACCCTGAAACTACTTTTTAAAAGATGAATTCAATATCATGCACATATTTGTAAGTATTCACTATATATATGCACATACATATATATGTATATATACATATACATACACATATGTATGAGAATGGGCACATAAAGACCCATTCAATAATTTTGCAACTTGGTAGAATAGCTTGAAACCATCACCATTCCATTTTCATCCAAGATGACTTAAATACCATCCTATTTATTTTTCTGAGAACCCTAAAAATATATATATATATATTTTTTTTTTCTACAGTAGGAATTGCTGTTTTCTGTGAGTCTATCAGATATTTCACTGGGTTCTAAGTAGTCTTTAGAAATGCATGTTTTTCTAAAGACCATTATCTTACGATGTTAGCGTGAAACTTTCAATAGACTTCAGGAGAAGGCATTTGTTTATACTAAAGCAGATTCAAGAATTCCAGAGAGGTGGGCGGGGGGGGGGGGGGGGGGGGGGAGGAGGAGCGAGACACAGAGAAATGAAGAGTGAGTGTGATTTCTCTTCGAGGTTTGTACTGTCCTCTTACAGTTCAGCTGGGAGGACTTCACTGCTCAGGAGTATCTGAATGATGAAATGATTCTAATGTGACTCATAGCTAGGGTAGTTTATTTGAATGTATGCAAATGGCAAAATGTTCAGACAACACCTATTTACCTGTAGTTATTTTATTTTCCTCAAGCAAACAGCTGCAAAGAAATACAAGTCTGAGACAGGACAGCCGTGACTCACTGCCGTAAAATGCCTTTTCTTTCCCACTACAGTAGGAAAGAAGTGTGCAGATGGCCCTCCATGCAAAGATGTCCTACTGTGTTTTGAAGTTGGCCTTCTTAGTGTCCTGAGCATTAACTTCAACTTCTTTTGATTTAGTAGTGGGAATGCTTCCCACTGTTTACTCCTACGGTACCTAATGTAGAATATGAGATTACCGAATTAAACCCAGTGAAGACTACCTACCTACCCTGAGTGTGGCGCTGAAGAAGGGCTATCAGCTTCCAGAACTAGGGTCTCCTAGATAGATGGTTGATTCTCCACCAGAAAACAGGGAGGAGAAAGAGCAAACCAGAGCCAAACAGGAGATAACCTTGCCTAGGCCTGCAGAAGCCAGACTCCACTTCTGCTGGCCTTCGTGATCCTCTGTTGGTCTAGGAAGGGACCCAGGAGCAACTGGCACATTGGAAATGGCACTGAGGGCCTCCCATCTCACTGAACCCCAGTTAACACCAGGTTCATCATGGTGTGAGAAACCCTGTGAGAAATCCTAGTACTTCCAAGGCATACACAGAAATGTCTCCCTGGTTGGTCTGTTCAGCTCGAATGTAGAAGGGCCTTTTCTCAGTCAGTGCTCAGAGATGGGTGAGTTTCTGTTTACCTCCCTCGGGACTTCTTAAAAAATTATTTTACTTTATCTGTTAGAATGGTATCTTTGCTAATTTTGTCAAGAAGTTCATTAATTACAAACTTAATGTGACAAATTATCATGGTTAAAATTATTAGTTCCAATGGGCTTGACAATTAAGATCTGAACAATTAGAATTAAGCAAATCCATCCAAAATATTTTGGGTTACTATATGTTCATTCATACAAAAAGACCAATTGTGTTTCCAAAGTTGCGAGAGCTAAGCTAGCCATCTGTATGTCATTTAGTACAAGAGAAGCAACCGCAGGTTTAAATTACATGGTATTGGATTGCAATTTCCTAACATTGGATGCTTTTCTGCTTTTTTACCTTGAGTCATTTACCAAGGAGTGTTCATAAAAAGTAGCTTCAAGCACAGATGCTTGCAAATCACTTAGGCAAAGATGTTTCTCTCTTTTTCATTTTACCTCTCCCCAGAATCTCTTTTCTGAAGAAAAAGAATAAGACTGTTGGTCAGTATTGATGAACCATGTCATGTATTTGTCGAGGGGGAAAAAAGGTAAAATTGAAAACATCTGATTGAAGTAAATAATACAAACATAAAAGCTTCACTGGTGAATGAAGGGTATTGAAGAGACCTTATTTCATAGATTAGAAATTACTTTTGATCTAAACATTCTTAAAAACAGATTGTTTTCCGCTATGAGCCATCTCATTAGCTGTGCTACAGAGACCCCATTTTAATGGTGAACTTTGAAAGGGACCCGCTGGACTCTTTGTCGGCCCCCATCTTATTTGGAAGGGGGAAAAGCTTTCCTTGCAGCTTCCTTTGTTTGCCTTTCAAGAACCACGAAAGCAGTATTCACACAAATTTTGGAGGAATTTGCCCTGTGTCACAGCCTACAGATTATTTGGTTTTGGTGCACTTAAAGGTCATCTTCCAAATTAGCAAAATTTTCCTACATCCTGGCTTTTCAACCTTAAATGTAAATGTTGTTCCCTAACTGTAAGTGAGGTTTATTCTCTGAGAAAATGTTGGTGATTATTTAAGGAGGTCAAACTTCAGATATTTTTATTCTCTGGCCATACTGTGTTCTCCAAGTAATTAGGTGTTTAAAGGATATCTAAAAGCAAAAGGAAGATACACACACACACACCCAAAAAAAAACCAGTTGTGATTTTTGTACTAAACAACTCAATGGGAAGTCAGTCAGATTTTAATAAAAGTCTCACCACCCAGTGCAATAATAATAATATACTTCTTGGACAACTGAAAGCTGTACTAATGTATTAATTCTTCTAATATAACCAAAATTTGGCAGGTACAGAAAAAAAGCTTCATTTCTGTCCCTGCATCCTCTGCCCCCTACCAGACTGACTTTTCCAAAGTCACATGGTGCCACTGTTAATTCTACAGACATCATTTCATTTTGAAATTGGAGAGTAATTCATTGGGTGGCTCCCCTTTACTATCTTCACTTAGGGACTGTAATTTTCTTATTACACAGGGTAATTTAACATTAGTGTTATACGACATCTGTTCAATGACTTCTGAATTAGCTTAGAAGTATGCAACAGAGGGAGGTATCCCTTTCTTTAAACATTTAATAGCATTACTTTGAAGGCACAAGTCAGTATATATACACGTACAACACGGTGCATCTGAGGGAATAATATTACCCCCTTTGTATCTAATCATAGCCCATTCTCTACAGTGTCATTTTTATGTGGGTCAGATCTACCTTGAACCCAATCCGAAGGTATTTAAATGCTGGAATATGCCCAGTGTCTTTTTTTTATTTATACCAAGGCATCTTCCATGTTGTTACTGAAGGGAAGAATTGTGTTGAAACCCCAATAGGAAGCTCTTCTCTACACAGACACAAGAGTTCTCTGAGAGTTGGAGGTAGGACACACCTGCAGTCCCAAGGTTTTGTCACCATCCCCCACTTCTAAAAAAGAGCTGCATTCTGGTCTGCTGCATCCTGCCTGCTGCCAACTGTGCCCTTAGATGAGCTGGGTGTTGCATTAGCTCTGTGGCTACAAAGATGGCAACACCTGGGACTTAGCAGGCGCCGGGTGCAAAATCAGAGGACACTGAAGCTAAAAATCCAGTTTAAAAGGGAGCAGCTTAGATGTTTCTGTGCACTTCTGCATCCTACTGGTAATTATTTTCTATAATAATTCTCTCAGAAAAGTCTTTTTCTAACAAGTGATCTTTTTAAAATGAAAAGAAAAAAAGGAAGTGGGGGGGGAAACAGAACTAAAAATTCAGCTCTACTCTCTACCATGCACATTTCTAGACACACAATTCTAGAAGGTGGAATCATGCCCATTTTACAAACACAAAAACTGAGGCTCACAGAGTTGGTTTTAACATAACTTATTAAAGAGTCACATCAACTCAAACATACAGTTATGGGACTGTAAACCCATGCCTATTTCTGCCAGTAAAAAATTACGCTCTAACTTTCTTCTCAAATTGTGCAGAAATTTTCAGCTTAAAAAAAATTACTCGCTAATAAGTTAAGACAGTAAGTGAAGGACAGTAGTAGTCATGATAGTGCATAAAAAGTAACAACATCTGCCCACTGGCCCCATCTGCTTTCCCTATATATATCCCTTCAGTACATACAAGATTCTCACCACACCTACAAACCCTGAAAGGCCCTTTAATGTCCTGTTGAGAAGTAGATCAGATCTGTTACTTAAATGCTCAGAACACTCTTGAGTCATATGCTTTATATTTCAGTGTGAAAAATCAAAATAAAACCAAACCTAAGGATCTCAGCATTTTAATTTCTGCTCTAGGACTACAGGGGAACATGAAAATATTACCCATTTTCCCAAAATAATAAGAGATAGGTATCTTGTTTTGATTTAGTTTCATTAAGTTAAAACAGTAAAGTTCGTGTAGAAATAGCTTGCTGCTGTATTTACAGATGCCATAAAATTAAAGCCTTTGTTCATTTTTACTATGAACTTTAATTTCCAAGTCCACATTAGTCTGCCATGTTGGAAAACTATTTTATTCCAGGCTTAGTAGTGTTAGACTTTCTAAGTCGAAGATTATAAAACTATAATCTATACCACTTTTAGAATCAAATGTAAATACATAGCACAGACAATTTTGCTTGTTGGTTTTCTTTTTTACAACTCCGGTAATTCATAAAGGCCTTGAGAACAGAGTTGCAAGTCACAGAGGGGAAAGTCTCCATCTATAGAAGCATTCCCAGTTCTAACTCCCCCGCCCCATACTGTTCATAACCTAGGGTGTGAGGATGTGGCTTCCGGTCTCCAGCTCCCACCAAACCAGGCC